GCTCACTCAGCACTCAACTCACTCACTCACTCAGCACCCAACTCGCTCGCTCACTCACTCACCCACCCACCCACCATCCAACTCACTCTTTTGCCACCCAACTCGCTCATTCACCAACCAACTCACTCACTCACTAACTTACTCGCTCAACTCACTACCGATCTCACTCCCTCATGCACCATACAACTTACTCACCACCCAACTCACTTATTCCCCAATTCACTCACCACCCAACTCACTCACTTACTCATTATTCAACTCACTCACCATCCAACTCACTCATTCACCCTACAACTCACTCAGTCACTCACCACCCAACTTACTGACTCACTCACCACCCAACTCACTTACTCACCACCCAACTCACTCAGTCACTCACCACCCAACTCACTCAGTCACTCAGCACCCAACTCACTCAGTCACTCAGCACCCAACTCACTCAGTCACTTAGCGTCCAACTCACTGACTCACTCACCACCCAACTCACTCAGTCACTCATCACCCAACTCACTCACCACCCAACTTACTGACTCACTCAGCACCCAACTCACTCAGTCACTCAGCACCCAACTCGCTCAGTCACTCACCACCCAACTCACTCAGTCACTCACCACCCAACTGATGCAGCAGCTGTCAGCCTATTGATTCAGCCCCAGTTTCTCTCACCCCCATACAGTACCCGCTCCACATTGACACCCAACTATCCAGTAAATCAGCCGTCCACCAAACTCACCACACCGTGAACTAGGAACTCAAAGAGTCTGCTCTTAGTGGCCTTGCGGGCTCCTCTGCTGGACTCCTCCGCAGCCATGATCTGTCTCCCCCTCGCTGCTCACTGCTGTGTCCTAGCTCAATCTGCCCTCCACTCATTCACCATCCAACTCATTCACTCAGTCACTCACCACCAAACTCACTCACCACCCAACTCACTCAGTCACTTACCACCCAACTCGCTCACTCACCGTCCAACTCACTCACTCACCACCCAACTCGCTGACTCACCACCCAACTCGCTCACTCACCACCCAACTTGCTCACTCACCACCCAACTCGCTGACTCACCACCCAATTCGCTCACTCACCACCCAACTCGCTCACTCACCACCCAACTCGCTCACTCACTCACTCATCATCCAACTCAATCACTCAGTCACTCCCTCACAGTCCAAGTCAGACACAGCATCAGTTAGACACAGAGTCAATACTATTGTCTTTCAATGCTCAGTGTTAAGACTGGGGACTGTCCGCATTGGCTTGCTGGGACACTGGCCACTGGCCCGGTGCCCACTGGCCAGGAGGGTTTGTGCTCAGGCCTGAGGTGTCCTGTAAGCAGTTTGTTAAATGCAATGAGAGATCAAAGGACGGGACACAGGCAGGCGGAGAGAGACTGTGCTCACACAGGCAGCTGAAGTTCTGCCACCATCAGAAAGTTACAGCTCCCTGAACTTCAGAGTGAAGTTTGATCTGATCCCCCCCACCCCCCCCACCCCCGCCCTCACCCACTCTTAGTTATGCAGCAGCTGTCAGCCTATTGATTCAGCCCCAGTTTCTCTCACCCCCACACAGTACCCGCTCCACATCAACACCCAACTATCCAGTAAATCAGCCGTCCACCAAACTCACCACACCGTGAACTAGGAACTCAAAGAGTCTGCTCTTAGTGGCCTTGCGGGCTCCTCCGCTGGACTCCTCCGCAGCCATGGTCTGTCTCCCCCTCGCTGCTCACTGCTGTGTCCTAGCTCAATCTGCCCTCCCCTCGCTCTCCTCTCGCTCTCTCGGCTTGGGTGGCGAGCAAGTTGGGTGGTGAGTGAACTGGGTGTCGAGTGAGTGAGCGAGCTGGGTGGCGAGTGAGCGAGCGAGCTGGGTGGCGAGTGAGCAAATGTCTGAGTGGGATGGCGAGCGAGTGAGTTGGGTGGCGAGCGAGTGAGTGTTTGAGTGGGGTGGTGAGCGAGTGAGTCTCTGAGTGGGATGGTGAGCGAGTGAGTTTGGTGGTCAGTGAGTGAGGTGGGTGGTGAGTGAGGCAGGTGGGTGATGGGTGGCAATCTGGTTCAAATATTAACTTTCCCATCATCTCCACTTCATCTCCTCAAACGGCTTCTCCTCCAGCCCCCGGACTGTCTCGTGCGCCGTTCCTCGGGGCTCTGTCCTTGGTTCCCACCTCTTCAATATCTATACGGTCCCTCTTGGTGACATCATCCGCAGACATGGGGTTAACTCCTGCTTGGCTCCCTTCAACGCCTTCACACCCTGAGCGCTGACAGCATCACCATACATGGATGCACTTTACACCTCACTGAGCCGGTACTGAACCTTGGGAACTTGGAAGAACGAGGGGAGGCAATATACACTAAATGGTACAGTTTTAAAGGGGGTTCGGGAGTAGGAAGACCTGAGGGTTCACATATACAGGTCTTTGAACGCAGGGATGAGGGACATTAGTTATGTGGAGAGACTGGAGAAGCCGGGATTGTTCTCCTTAGAGCAGAAAAGGTTAAGGGGAGATTTAATAAAGGTGTTCAAAATTATGAGGGGTTTTGATAGAGTAAATAGGGAGAAACTGTTTCCATTGGCGGGTGGAGGGGTTTTGATAGAGTAAATAGGGAGAAACTGTTTCCATTGGCGGGTGGGTCAGTAACCAGAGCACATAGAGTTAGGATAATTACGGTCTGGAATGCACTGCCAGAAAAGGTGGTGGAAACAGATTCAATAACAGCTTTCAAAGGGAATTGGATAGGTACTTGAAAAGGAAAAACTTGCAAGTTTATGGGAAAGAGCGGGGGGGGTGGGACTGATTGTGTAGCTCTTCCAAATAGCCGGCACAGGCATGATGGGCCAAATGGCCTTCTGTACTGTAATATTCTATGATTCTACCATGATTGACGCTCAACTGCCCTTCAAACCTTTCATCCCTGCCATGACCTGTTCTGCCTTTCCCCATCTCCGCAACATTGCCCGGCTCCCCATCTCCCAGAGGATAGAGTTCCAAATCCTCATCCTTGCTTTCAAAGCCCTCCACGGCCTTGCTCCTCCTTACCTCTGTGACCTGGTAACCTCATACCAACCTATCCGCACCCTCCGCTCAGCAGGCTCTGACCTGCTCCACGTCCCCTGACCAGCCACCCCCACCATCGGTGGTTGGGCCTTTAGCCTCTCTTCCTCCACCCTTTGGAACTCCATCCCACAGTCCGTTTGCCTCGCCACCTCCCTGGCCTCCTTCAAGGCCCATCCCAAGACATTCCTCTTCAATAGTGCTTTCGGTCACCCTCCTACCCCCACCCTCCGCTCCCTCCACCCCTCCTGGTCCTAACCCCCAACTTGCTTGCAAAACCTTGACTGTCCAGCATCTTGGCATTGCACCTTGGGTTGTGAGTCAGTGTGTTGGGTGAGCGAGTGAGTTGAGTGAGTGAATGAATGAGTGAGTGAATGGGTGGGTGAGATGGATGAATGGGTGAGATGGGTGGGCGTGAGAGGTTGTTGGGTGGGGTGGGTGCGATTGGTGGGTGGGTGGGTGAGATTTAAGATGGGTGAGATGGGTGGTGAGTAAGTGGATGAGATGGGTGGTATTTGAGTGAGATGGGAGGTGAGTGAGTGAGTGAGTGAGTGAGTGGGTGGGTGAGTGAGTGAGTGGGTGGCTGAGGTGGGTGGTGAGTGATATACTTGCACGCTGTCTCCCGTAGCGACCTGGAATTCCGGCAGGTGGCCGGATGGCTCCTCAGGGTTCGCCTATGGGCCCCCCAGGACCCCCGTACGGAGGCAGCCCCCCTGTGCGGCCAGGCCTCCCCCAGGTGGTGATGGAGCAGTCACGGAAGCGGCCAGCTCCTCAGCAGGTTCAGACTGGTGTCCAGGCTCGAGCCCGCAGGTACGTGGCTGTGTGTTGGGGGGCGGGGGGGTGTGGGGGGACACATGTTACCTGGTGGGGGGTTATTTTAAAAAATGTGGTTACTCAATCCACGACTTGTTTCTGGGATGTTGTTGTGTACAATTGCCTGCCTTGTTTTGCCCACAAGACATACAGTCACTACGTTTTACTAGATATTCTGTGAAGCACTTTGACACATCTCGAAGACATAATAAGGCGCTGTATCCAATGCAAGGATTATTATTGATGCTGCTTTGACGTTTTCTGTTATTTTTAGTGCGAAGAGAAGAAAGATGGCGGATAAGATCCTGCCTCAGCGGGTGAGTGAGTGCGTGCATGAGTGAGTGAGTCCCTGCTACACTCCCGGCTCCAAGCGCTGCCCGGGCTGGCGTAATAACAACAAACAACCACAGATTGCCTTTCATATCGGGAGGACGTCCCAAGGCGCTGGACAGTGAAGGGTTTGCGCCTGATGTCACCCAGCTGGGGGCTGGAGTCAAGAAGGGTGGGGGTTGATGGGAGGGAAGGTGCCTGAACACGTGGGCAAAGAGGAAGGTGTTGAGATGATTTGACCCGGACTCGTGCATTTGTCCCGCACTGGTGTATTTGTCCTGTACACTGGCCTGCACTGCTGTACTGAGGCAGTGTTTTGGGGCCTGTACGCTGCTGTGCTGAGGTTGTGTTTGTGGCAGATCCGGGAGCTGGTGCCCGAGTCTCAAGCTTACATGGATCTCTTGGCGTTTGAGAGGAAACTGGACCAAACCATCATGAGGAAGCGGGTGGACATCCAGGAGGCCCTGAAGAGACCCATGAAGGTAAGAATGGGCAGTGCAGGTGGGCAGTGGGGGGGACAGTGGGTGGGCTGTGTGAGTGCGGGTTGGCAGTGAGTGGGCAGTGTGGGTGAGAGTGGGCAATATGGCGGGAGGCAGTGCCGTGCGTACAGTGAGCGCGTACGGTGCTGTGTGTTCACAGACTGTTGACCTCTCAACTCCAGTTAGATTTTCTCTCTGATTTTCCGGTAGCAAAAGAGAAAGTTGCGTCTGTATATCTCCAACACCTTCAACCCGGCCCGGCCCGAAGCCGAGGATACTGACGGCAGCATCGCCTCCTGGGAGCTGCGAGTGGAGGGCAAACTGCTCGAGGATGTGAGTGTCCCAGCCCCTCCCAAATACCCCTCCCAGCCCCTCCCAAATACCCCTCCCAGCCCCTCCCAAATACCCCTCCCAGCCCCTCCCAAATACCCCTCCCAGCCCCTCCCAAATGCCCCTCCCATCCCAAATACCCCTCCCACCCCATCCCAAATAGCCCCTCCAGCCAATCCTAAATAGCCCCCCCAGCCCATCCCAAATACCTCTCCCAGCCCATCCAAAATACCCCCTCCCCCCAGCCCATCCAAAATACCCCCTCCCTCAGCCCATCCCAAATATCCCCTCCCCCAGCCCATCCCAAATACCCCCCAGCCCACTGTGACGCGCTCCAGGACACTCCCTTGTATGAAGGAACGCTATAGTTGGTTGTTGTTGGGTCTGATCCAGTCCCTCTTCTCCAGACGGGGAAACAGAAACGTAAATTCTCATCGTTCTTCAAGAGCCTGGTGATCGAGCTGGACAAGGAGCTGTATGGCCCCGACAACCATCTGGTCGAGGTGATCCACTTAATCTCACCCTGGTAACCGTTGGCAACCCGCTAACCCAAGCCGGTAACTCACTAACAGGGTGGGAATCGAGCTGTGCGGTAATGGTGATGGTCGTCATGCGGTGACAATACGGTGTGAGGTCCTGTAGGGCGGTGATGAGAGCGCTCGCCTCTCAAGCGAGAGGACCTGGGTTCGATTCCCAGACAGGGGGAAACGTTTACTCCCGATGCCAATGTTGACCGAGCAGTAAGTAGAAATACGGTTGTTAGTCGATCGGCTGATCGCTTTTCCAGTGGTAATAAACCCTCCAAAAGAAAGTCTGAAAAAGTAATAATTTGGTCCCTCGGTCCACGACTGTTTGTGGGACGACGCTGTGCACAATCGGCTGCCGCTTTTCGCCCACAAAATATCGAGTCAGTTCACTTTACAGTATATCCTGTGAAGGGCTTTGAGACCTGATATCAAATGCAACGATTACAATATTTACATTTACACAGTGCCTTTCACATCAGGAGGAAGTCCCGCGGGGATGGACGGTTGAGGGTTTGCACCTGAGTTGGAGGTTGGATTTGGGGGGAGCGGCGGTGGTGGAGTGGGAGGATGACCGAATGTGTGGTCAAAGAGGAGGGTATTGAGACGTGCCTTGAAGGAGAGAAGGCAGGGAGCGAGGCCAAGGGACATGATGGAAGTGCAAACGGTGGGGGCAGAGAGGCTGAAGGTCCGCCCCCCGATGGTGGGTGAGCGGGTAAGTGGAGCAGAGGCCGGAGCCTACTGAGCGGAGTGAGCGGACAATGATGAAGGTCTCGTGGGTAGGAGTCGCGGCGGAGGTGCAGTGACTGTGCCCTGGGGTGGCGGCTGCTGTGACAGTGACCGTTGCAAGGCTGGGATGGTTGCCGTGTGGTGGTGGTTGCTATGGTGGTGGTAATGGTTGCCATGGTGACGGTTGATATGGTGAAGGTTGCTTTGGCGATGGTGACGGTTGCTATGGTGACGGTTGATATGGTGAAGGTTGCTTTGGTGATGGTGACGGTTGCTATGGTGACGGTTGATAGGGTGAAGGTTGCTTTGGCGATGGTGACGGTTGCCTGGCAGTGATGGTCGCTACGGTGACGGTTGATATTGGCGAGGGTTGCTTCGGTGATGGGGCCGGTTACCACGGTGCCGGTTGCCCGGCCGTGACGAGGGTTGCTACGGTGACGGCAACGGATGCTGTGGCGATGGTGCCGGTTACTACGGTGACACATCACATGATTACTTTTTGTTTTATGAATATTCCTGAAGTGGCACCGGACGCCCACAACACAGGAGACGGACGGCTTTCAGGTCAAACGTCCCGGAGACGTGAGCGTGCGCTGCACCCTACTGCTCATGCTGGACTACCAGGTCAGCCGGGGGGTGGGGGTGCAGGGGCCAGGTGGGAGGGTGGGTGGTTTGAGGTTGTGGGCCGTTTGTGGGTTGGGAGTGGGTGGTTGGGGGGTCTCAGGGCGGGCGGCGGGGGCACTGGGGGTGGGGCTTTGGGAGTGGGGGGGTCTGGGTTGGGGAATTCGGGGGTCTCGGGATGGGTGGGGCTTGGGGGGGTTCTCGGAGTGGGGGGTTGTGGGGTTGGGGGTGGGTGGGGCTTTGGGAGTGGGGGGTCCGGGGCGGGGGGGGGGGCTTGTGGTTGGGTGGGGGGTGTTGGGCTGACTCTCTGACGTGTGACTGGCTGTAGCCGCCGCAGTTTAAGCTGGACCCTCGCATGGCCAGGCTGCTGGGGATCCACACACAGACGCGCTCGGCCATCGTCCAGGCTCTGTGGCAATACATCAAAACCAACAAACTCCAGGACTCCCACGACAAGGAGTACGTGAGCTGTGACAAGTACTTCCAACAGGTACCAGCAGGGACAATAGGTACCAGCAGGTACCAGCAGGGGGCAATATATCATAGAATTATACAGCACAGAAGGAGGCCATTCGGCCCATCGTGTCTGTCCCGGCTCTTTCAAAAGAGATTCCAAGTCAATCCCACTGCCCCGCGCTCTCCCCACAGCCCTGCAAACCTGTCCTCCCCAAATAATTATCTACTCTCTTAAAAGTTGTCATTGAATCTTGATACCAGCAGAGGAAGCTGGTACTGGGTTGGGGGGGGGGGGGGGGGGACTGTTGTTTGTTTAGTATGTCTCTACTTCCGTCTTTCCTCGGTCACTGCTTCCAGCCCTCACCATTCCACACACTAACTATGTGAGTCAAAACATTTGCTCATTTACTAACTCAAAACCCAGAGCTGGACCCTCGAGCACAGATGGCACAAATTGATGCTATGGCTAGAGGATCACACCGCACCCATCGCCTCTCCCTCTCACAGGCCAAAATTGTTTTTTTTTTTACTCCAAAACCATTTTGGAGACCAAAAACAACCCAGAGGCACTGTTCTCCACCATCCATCACCTCCTCTGCGCACCCCCTCAAACTGCCTCCATCCTCACCTCAAACACCAAGTGCAAGGAGGGCCCAGATTTCTTCATGTCAAAGAATGCATTCCTCCACTATGTCCCCTTCGCCCCCCCCAGACCATCTACACTTCCTGCCACCATGGCCACTACCACTTCCCCTTCCCCACTCTCCTTTGACCCCATTTCCCCCCAAGAGGTAGGTGGGAAGAGGGTGGGGTTAGTATCTTGTGTGGGAGTGGGGATCTGTGTGGGAGGGGGAGAGAGACCTGTGTGGGAGGGGGAGAGAGACCTGTGTGGGGAGGGGGAGAGCGGGCTGTGTGGGGAGGGGGAGAGCGGGCTGTGTGGTTGGGGGTATATGTTGTGGGGGGGCTTTCAGACAATCTATGACAAGTTTCTCACTGCAGATCTTTGATTGTCCACGATTAAAATTCTCCGAGATGCCACAGAGACTAACCAACCTACTGCTGCCCCCCGACCCCATCATCATCAACCACCTCATCAGGTACATGTTCCTCCCCCCCACCCCACGCACATAGTGTCCGTGTACCCACATACGCACACAGTGTCCATGCCCCCCCCCCCCCCGCCACTCTGGTGTCCCTCCGCCGCGCTCTCTCACTCAGTGCCTCCCTCTCTCTCTCACTCGCAGTGTGGACCCCAATGACCAGAAGAAGACAGCGTGCTATGACATTGACGTGGAGGTTGACGACCCCCTGAAAAGCCAGATGAGCAGCTTCCTTCTGTCCACAGCCAATCAGCAGGAGATCGCTGCCCTTGACAACAAGGTCAGGGTTGGTGGGTTAATATTGGGGTCTGAGACAATGTCGGGGTCGGGTGTCAATGTCGGGGTCGGGTGTCAATGTCGGGGTCGGGTGTCAATGTCGGGGTCGGGTGCCAATGTCGGGGTCGAGAGTCAAGGTCGGGGTCGAGGGTCAACTTCTGCGTCGGGGTCAATGTCGGGGTCGAGGGTCAATGTCTGGGTCAGGGTGAGGTTGGGGCTAGTGTTTGGGGATTAGAGACACAGTAGTGACTGTCACCGTGTGTTTCTCCTCAGATCCACGAGACGATCGAGTCTATTAACCAGCTGAAGATACAGAGAGATTTTATGCTGAGTTTCTCCCGGGACCCGAGGGTTTATATCCAGGATTGGCTCAAATCCCAGAGCCGGGACCTCAAGGTAAACCATGTCTCTCCTGACTAAACACTAGGCAGCTCCGCGCTGGGACCACACCGGGCAGCTCCGCCCTGGGACCACAGCGGGCAGCTCCGCCCTGGGACCACAGTGGGCAGCTCCGCCCTGGGACCACACCGGGCAGCTCCGCCCTGGGACCACACCGGGCAGCTCCGCCCTGGGACCACACCGGGCAGTTCCGCGCTGGGAACCCAGGGCCCACTCTGAGCAGCTCTGCGCTGGGACCACACTGGGCAGCTCCGCGCTGGGCCCACTCTGAGCAGCTCCGCGCTGGGACCACTCTGGGCAGCTCCGCGCTGGGCCCACTCTGAGCAGCTCCGCGCTGGGCCCACTCTGAGCAGCTCCGCCCTGGGCCCACTCTGAGCAGCTCCGCGCTGGGCCCACTCTGAGCAGCTCCGCGCTGGGCCCACTCCGGGCAGCTCCGCTCTGGGCAGCTCCGCGCTGGGACCACTCTGAGCAGTTCCGCGCTGGGCCCACTCTGGGCAGCTCCGCGCTGGGCCCACTCCGGGCAGCTCCACTCTGGGCAGCTCCGCGCTGGGACCACTCTGGGCAGCTCCGCGCTGGGCCCACTCCGGGCAGCTCCGCTCTGGGCAGCTCCGAGCTGGGCCCACTCCGGGCAGCTCCGCTCTGGGCAGCTCCGCGCTGGGACCACTCTGGGCAGGCCTGCGCTGGGACCACATTGATTCTGTGGATGTTGTGCCAGATAATGACAGACGTGGTGGGGAACCCGGAGGAGGAGCGAAGGGCAGACTTCTTCCAGCAGCCCTGGTCCCAGGAGGCCGTCAGCAGATATTTCTACTGCAAGGTGAGTGCGTGTCAGTCTGATAGTCAGAGCCAGGACACTGGGGCCTGAGCTCAGAAAACATTGCAAACAGAGCGAGTGGCGGATGGAACCACACTGAGCTGGTGTCTGACACACCATCGCCTGAGACCTCACTCTGGGATGCTGTACGCTAGTCAGCTCCGCGCTGGGACCACTCTGGGCAGCTCCGCGCTGGGACCACTCTGGGCAGCTCCGCGCTGGGACCACACTATTCCACCTACATATGGAAATCTCTCTGTGTCTGGAATGAAATGCGCTCCCTCTCTCTGGAGGGACACATCGTGCTGCGAGAGCGTTAGGCTCAGGTTGGCGAGAGCCAGGCTTGGGGACCCCCGGAGTGTGCAGGATAGTTACCAGGGCAGGGCGGGGGGTGGCTCGCCAGTGTCTGTGATGTAACTTGTCTCTGTCCTCGGCACAGATTCAGCAGCGGAGACAGGAGCTGGAGCAGGCCATGGGCGTGAGGAACACCTAACCAGCCACACAGACTCTCTGCCCCCCCCCCCCCCCCCCCCCACACTGCCTCCACTCACTGGACTCCCTTCATTGCCCCCCACACTACCCCCACCACACTGCACCCCTGCACCCCTGCTCACTCCCCCCCCCCCCCCCCACAATACCCCCTTGGTGCTATACGAATGTAATTTTGTTGTTGTTGCTCCCCCCCATTGCCCACCCTCACTGCCCCCCCACATCCTCACACTGCCCACCCCCCCACACTGCCCTGTCACACTGAGACTGGGCTGGGTTCAGCACTGGGCTATCATTGTGTCATTGTGCAGATGGTGTCACTGTTAATATTGTTGTGTACCTGCTCACCCTCTCCCACAGACCAGCTCTGTTCCCCCTCCAGAAGCTCCCTATCAGCACCCCCCCCCCCCCCACCCCCCAAGACTGTTCCACGTTGTACGTTTTATCACTGACAAGGGAGGGGCCCGTCCTTACGCACAAATACCTCCCAGACAGCCCTGCATCTCCGAGAGGGGGAACAACAGCTTTGCTCTGTGTCTGAGCTGTCTTTGCCCAGTGTCTCTCAGCCTCGCTTACTCTCCTGTGGATATAAGGTGCCTGGACATTAATGTTTCTCTTTAATCGTCCCCGTCCCCCTCCCTGTGGGAACTCGGTACACAGATGTTCCAACGGCCTAATGCCACAATTAACTGATAGCATGTGTGACAGCAACAACAAATGACATTTACACAGCGTCTTTCACGTGGAGAGGACAGTTAGGGATTTGGACCCGAGAAGGGGCTTGGGATCAGGAGGGGTGGAGGGCAGAGAGTAGGAGGGTGATCGAAGAGGGGGAAATTGAGACGGCCCGTGAAGGAGGCGAGGGAGGGAGGGAGCGAGACGAAGGGACAGTGGGGTTGAGTTCCAAGGGTGGAGTCAAACAGGCTGAAGGCCTGATCGCTGCTGGTGGTCATGGAGCAGGCCAGAGTCTGCTGAGCGAAGGGTGCGGACAGACTGATATGGGATCAGCAGGTCACAGATGTAGGAAGGAGCAAGGCCATGGAGAGCCTCGAAGGAGAGGGCGAAGATTTTGGCAGGATGGGCGGGGCAGTTAGGCACTGCTTTGGGATGTGAAAGGCGTTCTACTAGTGTGAGTTGTTGTTGCTGTTGCTTTGGTCAATTTGCCCCCCCACCCAACGCTCGCCCCCCCACCGAGGTCTCTCAATGTGCTATTGACAACAACTTACCTTTATACAGCAACCGCGCCCCCCCCCCCAACCCCCCATTAGGGAGGGGGAGGGGTGGAGGTTCGTTTGTGTAACAGGCCTCGATGTGAGAGAGTTTGGGATAAGTTAGGACTCAGGATTTTGAGGTTGGAACCCCTCCCCCTGATGAGGGAAGCACCCCTGTGGTAAGAGAAGCCCCTCTATCAGCCCTACGGTTGGCGACCTTGCTTGTTATTCAGGCTCACTGACAGTGCCGTAAAATACCGATCATTTCAGCCAGTTATTTTATACAAAGGGAAGCTGATGTGACAAGTGGCTACCTGGGCATTTCACTGTCAGGACTTTACCCAGATCCAGCTGGGCACTCGACAGGGTAAAGTTGTGTGCCTCAGATTCCTGTCTGCCCTATGCTGGCTCCTGCCTTGTACCGTGTCCTTATGTTGCTTCCTAGCTGTGTGCAGAGTGCCATCCCCGTGAATAAAACTTCCATCAGTGTGAACGTTTCTCCCGACTCTACTGAGCGTTTATTGGGGGGAAGGAGGGGGTCACAGGCTTCACTTATAACCACAATTCTCACTTTTATCAAGTTCTTATTGCGATCAAAGTAACCAATCCCCCAGACATCCACACACACATATATACACAATATTTTATATACATTTATATCATTTACATTTATATAATAATTCTTGCAGACGTCTCGAAGCGCTTCTCAGAATATACTGTAAAGTGTAGTGACAGTATATTTTGTGGGCGAAACTCGGCAGCCAATTGCACACTGCAGTGTCCTACAAACAGCCATGGATTGAGCGATCAAATTATATTTTTGGGAGGGATTATTACCCCCGGAAAGTGATCCGCCAATCGACTAATATCCATGTTTCTACTTATTGCTAGGTAAACAGAGAAATGTGGAGTAAGGAAACTTGCCTACAGTTTTGCTCCACCCGGGAATCGAACCTGGGCCCTCTCGCTTGCACTACAAAGCTACAGGAGATCACAGAGTTAGGGCAGAGCAAGGCCATGGAGGGCTTTAAAGTGAGGACGAGGATCATTCATGCGCCTTAGGACGTCCTCTTGACGTGAAAGGCGCTAAACAGATGTAATTTCTTGTTGTTGAACTCTATCCTCTGAGGGATGGGGAGCCAGTGGTGCCGGGTGAGGGTGGGGGTGATGGGGTCACGGAGCCTGGTGCGGGAGGGGACATGGGCTGCAGCTTCTGGAGGGAAGAGAGGGGAAATTGACGAGTAGGGAGTTGGCGTAGTCGAGCCTAGATGTGATGAATGTGTGGATGAGGTACTTGGCGGCCTGAGAGGTGGGACAATGTACTGGTGGTAGGGAATAGCTGAATGGTCAAGGCCTGATGTGAGATTTAAAGGAAAGTTGAGCCAAACAAGACACCGAGGTTCCACATTGGCTCTGCGAGCTTCAGTGTAATTTGCTTGTCACAGGGATCAGGTTGGCCTGATTATGTTGGTAAAACTACCTTAGTTTCACATTAAGTCAGACCCTATCTGAAGACTGCGTTCAATTTTGGGCATCACATCTCGGGAAAGATATATTAGCCCTGGAGCGCAGGTTCACCAGAAGGTTACCAGACCTAAAAGGGTTAAGTTACGAGGAAAGGCTGCGTAAACTTGGATTGTATTCCCTCGAGCTTAGAAGATTGTGGGGTGAGTTGATTGAGGCATTTAAGATGATTCAATAGGGTAGCTACAGAGAAGCTATTTTCCTCTGGTGGGGAATCCAAAAAGAGGGGGTACAGCCTTAAAATTAGAACCAGGCCATTTAAGAGTCAAATCAAGAAGCATTTTTTCACTCACAAAGGGTGGTAGAAATCTGGAATTCTCCACAATCGGCCTTGGATGCCGGATCCATCCACATCTTCAAGAGTGAGATTGATAGATTGTTGGTAGGTCGGGGGATTAAGGGATATGGGGAGAAAGCGGGAAATTGGAATTGAAAGAATTAGTTAAGGTACAGATCAGCCATGATCTAATTAAATGGCGGAACAGGCTCGAAGGGCTGAATAGCCTCCTCCTGATCCTATGTTCCAGTGAGACAAGACCAAACTTAATGACCTGTCCTTCAATATCCAACTGCCCCACCGCCACCCTCATCCCCCATCCTCACCCCCACCCCAAACATCACAAACACTGGTGAGGATTAGATGTAACAGATTGTAATATGGTGCTACAGAGGGCAGCGTATAACAGACAGTACACAGAGGGTCACAACTCACAAAGCACAGGTTCCACCTCCCGCTGTCCCACACCCCACACATGGGCCTGAGGAAGCCCCTCACTGCTCGCCCAGCGGCTTAAGAGATAAGAGCGAACAGACAGGAGGGGAAGGGCATCATCATCGTGTCTCACCGAGTGGCCCAGAGATCATGGCGGTGAATACAGGGCGCAAGATCCCCAGATGAGCCCCTCCAAAAGCACAATATCATCAGTAAACAGAAACATCGTCAATTTGTCATATATATATTATATATGAACATTGGAACAGGAGGAGGCCATTCAGTCCCTCAAGCCTGTTCCGCCATTCTATTAGATCATAGCTGATTTGTACTTCAACTCCAATTACTCGCCCTTGCCCCATATCCTACGATACCCTGACATAATAAACATCTCTCCACCTCAGTCTTGAAAATTTTAATGGATCCAGTCATGATCCACAGCCTTTTGGAATGGATACACCATATCCATTCCCTACTGTCAACACCTCATTGATGAATACAGAGAATAAGGTGTGGGGACAGTGGACAGTTTCCCATCAATCCTTACACGGATTTTGGAGGCTGGAATACACATTCTCAATAAACTCCAAAATACGGCCATAAAATCCCATAACTTCCAGTTTTGTCCTGAGGGACTCATGAGGCACCAAGTCACAGAAATCAATGAACCAATGTGTTCCGAGATCTCGGGCCATCCAACCCTGCCCTGCCCAGCCCTGCCTGGCCCAGCCCTGCACTGCCTGGCCCAGCCCTGCCCGGCCCAGCCCTGCCCTGCCCTGCATGTCTGGTCTATGTGCTGTTGGCTTGCTCCTGCTCGAACATGGCGAGTGCGAGGTGTGAGCGGGAGGCCAGGCCCTGCAGGTTGCTGAGCACACAGCGGTGGTAGATGTCCTCGCTGAGCCTTGGGTTGCACGTGCGGTGAGCATATTTCTGCACCAGCGCAGGCTCCACAGGCCTGAAGACATGCAAACCCGAGTACTTGATGAAGACATCGTACACCTCCATGCTCTCCAGCAGCTCCGTGTTGTCCAGCACCTCCCCCGCCATCTTGGTGCGGGCCGCCATGTAGTCGGAGTTGTAGAAACAAGCTTCATTGAAGATCTGACGGTCAAAGTGTCCGTCCTTGAAAAACTCGGCGGAGGAGGGCGGGGCCTGGGGGTCGCGGGACACAAGGGTGGGGTTATACTCCTGGAAGTGAATGGGGAAGAAGACTTGCCAACTGGTGATGGTGTTCATTCGGCAGCGATTGAGGAACTCATTGTTGACCTCAGTCCAGACGCTGGCGATGAAGAAGAGGGTGTCCACCGGGTGTTTCTTGGAGATAATGTCCATGATCTTGACCTGTGATGGGACGTCGGTCTGGACGCTGATCCAGGGGATCTTCACGTCCGGGTATCTCTTCTCCAGCTCCAGCACCGCGGCCTTGACCCCCGCAAAGACGTCGCTCTGGCTCACGCGCTGAGCGTCGAAGGGGTCGTAGATGAAGAGGAAGGTGAGGAGCGCGTTGTCGCGGGCGTCCAGCACGTTCAGGGCGAAGACGTCCAGGAAACCGGCGGCAAAGTCTCGCTGGTGGACGGTGAGCGGCAGGATGATGTGGACGTGGGTGGCCTCCGTCACGTAGGGCATGGGGATGATCTCCACACTGCCCAGCGGCCGCAGGAGGCTGAGCCGCTTGACCAGCACCCGGCCGTGGCCTCGCTGTGTGCGGGCATCCAGCACCAGGTCCAGGGTGTACTCCATCCCCCGCGTGGGGTCAAACCGCCGGTAGCCGTTCAGCAGCTGCTTCTTGCGGAAGTGAAGCAGCGGCTGGTACTTGTGGTTGAGCTCTCTCACCGCCGTCTCGATCACATCGGCTACGTCCGCCCGGCTGGCACCCCCCAGCTCACACTTCGGACCCCCCCAGGCGCAGGCGAACAGGTGGTCCTCCGTGAAGTAGTCCCAGTTTATCACCTCAAAGCGGGTCTGGGGTCTGAACGGTGGGGGGATCCCGATAGGCCAGGTGGCCCCCGCCTCCCCCTCCGGAGTCAGCTTACTGAGGTTCTTTATCTCCTCCTGAGAGAAAGAGAGATCGTGTGAGAGGGGGTGTCACCGGGGTCAAGTGGTAACTGGGGTAAAGGGGTCACTCGGGTCAGGGGGGAAGTGGCGTCTCCTCTCCACCTCTCCAGCAGGGGTGGTGGGTGGTGGAGGGAAGTGGGGGAGGACTGGGTGGGGGGTGGGGGCGACTCTGGGCTCAACTGAAAACAAAGTGACATGTTTAGCAATAGAAGGTCGAAACTCAACCCACCCTCTGGGCCGGTCTCGAGGCCGGGCAGGTCCACAGTTCTCCAAGGCACTGCTGATGCGGCCATACCTAGTACCCCCACCCCCCAAGCCTCACCCGCCCATACCTGCAGCCGCTCGATCTCCCGCTGGGTCCTGCCCAGCTCGAGTTGGCTGAAACGCCGGCGCAGACGGTACATGAGGCCAGGTTCAGGGACGAGGTGGACGGTGATGGCAGCCCTGAACTCCACGCTCTCCTCACGCTCCACATCCGTGTTCTTCCCCAACGCGAAGGAGCGGTACCACACGTCCTGCAACACACAGACACGTTGTCAGCCCGTGCCTGACACACAGAAACTTACACCAGGCTTTACAGCAGCTAAACCAAACCATGGATCCCACCTACACAAGGTCATTTATTGGAATGGAATGTGCGTGCGCACACACACAAACACACACACACACACATGCGCACACACACACACACACACACATTGAGTGTATAAACCCAATGACATGTTGGAGCCCTGTAGTGATGGTCTCTCTTCGTCTCTGCAACCTCCTCTCTCCTCACAGCACTACCCGCTGCCTCCGCTCTACTGGCTCCGGCCTCCACCTTGTCCCTCGAATCGTTCGCTCCCTCATTGTCGGCCGTGCCTTCAGCCACTACGCCCTGAAGCTATGGAACTCCTTCCCTCAATCCCTCCCCCCCCCCCCCCCGAGCGCTTTGGGACGTCCTCCCGAGATGAAAGGCGCTCTACAAATGTAATTTTGTCGTTGTTGTTTCCCCATTTTCAGGTCGCGCCTGAAGACCTTCCTCTTCGACTGCTTTTACGGCCACATTCCCCCTACCCCTGGCTCGACATCGGGCTCCGCCATTGTTAAGCTCTGGGGCCCCGCCCGGGGCGGAGGGCGCTATATAAATGCAAGTTGTTGTTTGTGCAGAGCAGTGAAGGGAGGTGTAGTGGCTGCTCGCCCCCAGCAGGAGGCGTTTGGAGTCAGGGCAACCCCCCCCACCCCACGGCCCGGCACATCCCATACGAGCACTCATCACACTGTCGGGACTCTTCCCGGGGTTCACTGCAAAGTGTAGTGACTGTGTGTTTTGTGGGAGAACACGACAACCAATATGTGCACAGCAACGGCCCACAAACAGTCGTGAAGCGAGCGAGTGATTTTATTTGGGGGTTTGTCCGTCAGGGGGTCACCAGGAGAGAGGAACGCCCTTTTGTTTTGGAGCAGTGCCACCTGACCAGTCACCAACGGGAACGCCATCTAATGTTCCATCTGAATTCAGCGTCTCTGGGCTGTGAGCTCACTGTGCTGCACACACACACGTCCATACCAGTGGTTATACTCCACACAAGCCCCCACCTATTTGCGCCCCTCTCTTACACCCCTTTTTTTTTCATAGATTCATAGAATGTTACGGCACAGAAGGAGGCCATTCGGCCCATCGAGTCTGTGCGGCTCTTTGACAGAGCGTCACTTTCACTAACCCCAATCACCAGCTTTCTCCCCATAACCGTGCAAACCCGTCCTGCCTATACCTATCCAGTTCTCTCTTAAAAGCTGTTATCGAATCGGACTTCACTGCCCTTTCGGGCGGATCATTCCAAATCCCAACAACTCGCTGAGTGAAAACATTTCTTCTAACCTCCCCTCTGCTTCTTTTGGTAGATATCTTAAGACTGTGACCGCGGGTCACAGACACACCTACCAGCGGAAACAGCTTTTCCTTATCTCGCCTGTCGAAACCTTTCATGATCTTGAAGACCTCTATCAGGTCTCCGCGTAACTTTCGCCAGACTACGCCATTACCTCACCCCTCACGCGGCTGAAACCCTGGTCCACGCCTTTGTCACCCCAAGGCTGGACTACGGGAACTCTCTCTTCGCCGGCCTTCCCGCCACCTCCCTCCACACTGCAGGTCATTCAGAACTCTGCAGCTCGTGTACTGTCCCGCAACAGACACCGCGACCACATCACTCCCACCCTCGCTCGCCTCCACTGGCTCCTCATCCCCCAGAGGATTGATTTCAAGATCCTCATCCTCACCTACAAGGCCATTCACGGCCTCGCTCCCTCCTACCTCTCCAACCTACTATCCCCCTACCTACCTGCCCGTACCCTCCGTTCCTCCGGCTCCGGTCTGCTCCACGTCCCCCGCCCCAACCGCCCTACCATCGGTGGCCTTCAGCCTCTCAGCCCCGAGGCTCTGGAACTCCATCCCCCAGTGCCTTCGCCGCCTCCTCCTTTTCCTCCTTCAAGGCCGGTCTCAAAACCTTTCTCTTTGACCGTGCCTTCAGCTCCCCTCTCGACTCTCTACCCCCTCCTCGCTCCCTCCCTTCCCTCCCCTCACCCTGACCATTTCCCCCCTCCTTGCTCCTTCCCTTCCCTCCCCTCACCCTGACCATTTCCCTCCTCCTTGCTCCCTCCCTTCCCTCCCCTCACCCTGACCATTTCCCCCCTGCTCGGGTCATGACCCAACTGTGCAGCGCCTTGGGACGTCCTCCTGACGTGAAAGGCGCTTTATAAATGGAATCTTGTTGTTGTTGTTGTTGTTTCTCTGCTCTAATGGGAAAAGTCCTAACTTCTCCACTGTCCTCATAGCTAAGGTTCCCCATTCCTGGTATCATTCTCGTGAATCTTCTCTGCACCCTTTCCAGTGCCTTAATGTCCTTCCTGACGTAAGGTGCCCAGAACTGGACACAGTACTCCAGCTGAGGCCTAACCAGTGTTTTTTATAGATTAACCATAACCCCTACTCTTATACTCTATGCCCCTACTAATAAAGCTCAGTACACCAAATGCCTTTTTTACTGCCTTATCTACCTGCCCCGCTACCTTTAATGATTCGCTTACTTGAACACCCAGATCTCTCTGTACGTTCACCCCCCTTAAGATTGAGCTCCAAGTCTATATTGCCTATCATTTTTCCTCCCTAAGTGTATCACCTCACATTTATCCACATTGAAATCCATCTGCCACATGTCAGCCCATTCCACCATTCTGTGTATGTCTGCCTGCAGTTGGTTACAGTCCTCCTCACTATTTACTACCCGACCTACCCTCAATGTGGAGTCCTGTAGCCTAATGGTGAGAGCACTCGCCTCGCAAGCGAGAGGACCTGGGTTTGATTCCCGGGTCGGGTCGAGCCCTATGATACTTTTCCTCACTCCACACACGCACCTCTGTTTATCTGCAGTAAATAGGAACCTGCTTCATAGTTGATTGGTGGATCGCTTTTCCAGCGGTAATAATTCCCCCCCCAACCCCCCAAAAAAGGTAGTCACTCAATCCACGACTGTTTGTGGGACACTGCTGTGCGCAATGGTCGTGTTTCGCCCACGAACAGTCACTATAAGATTCTTAAAGGGCTGATAAAGTAGACACTGAGGGACTGTTTCCCCGGTAGGAGATCTATAACCGGGGGTCACAGTCAGAACGTTAATGGTCAGCCTTTTCGAACAGAGTTGAGGAAACATTTCTTCACTCAGAGGGCAGTGACTTTATGGAATTCACTGCCCAGAAGGCTGTAGATGTCAGTCCGTGAACATCTTCAAGGCTGAGACTGAGAGATTTTTTTAAAACAGAGGGATGAGGGGATATGGGGAGAGGGCGGGTAATTGGAGTTAGGTCTGAGGATCAGCCATGGTCTTATCGAATGGCGGGGCACAGGCTCGAGGGGCTGAATGGCCTACTCCTGCTCCTAATTCTTATGTTCTTATGTTCTTAAGCCGGACGGGTTGGGGACGACAACAACAACTTGCAGCTATACCGCGCTCGTCACACGGCGTGGTGTCCCGGGACGAGCATTTTGTCTGGTTTAAGCAGAGCAGCGCCTCCTCCCTCCCACTGCCGTTCCCCTTGGGGGGGGGGGGAAGGAGACCAATTAGCGCCGGCTCCGAGGTGATTGACAGCCTGCAGCTGCTCCTGGGCGCTTGGGCTCCACCCACAAGTGGCTCAGCTGTCAATCAATCACTAACTGACTCCTCCCCTTCCCTCCCCCGCTTGTGAATGGCTGGAGTCCGCTGTCAATCAAACAGGATTTGACTCCTCCCGTCTTCATCCCGGAGCCCCTCCTGGCTGAATGGACCCACTCGACGCAGACACGGAGAGCGCATCCAGCGGTGACCGGAGCGGTCACTTTGACCGAATTTTTTGTCCGAATCAACTGTCTTATTTAACACAGGTAAGAATACAAATCTGGGCCCCGCGTTTCGTCCAGTTTACCTGCCGTCCACCTGAAGCTATCCCCTGGGGGAAGGGCGTGTGTGGGGGGAGGGGGAGTGTGTGTGAGGGGGTGGCTGTGGGGATGTATGGCCGTGGATAAGGGTAGGAGTGTGTCTGTGGGGGGAGTTAAGAGTGTGTAAGAGTTGTTGGGTGGGTGATGGGGAGGATTTAAATGGGATTAGACAGATGTGGTGGGATGGGATTGGAGGGGACGGGGCGAGGGGGCGATAAACATTACACACACGGCCGCTCGCTGAGAATTAAACAGGTCTGTTGTGAACGGTCCACACAGCGCGGACACAGGGTTCATTGGGTAATCGGGGTGTGCGGGAGGGCGTGGGAATAATAATAATAATAATAATAATAATCCTTGCATTTGATATAGCGCTTTTCACGTCGGGAGGACGTCCCAAAGCGCTTCACAGAACACACTGTAAAGTGAATTGACTGTATATTTGTGGGCGAACGCGGCAGCCAATTGCGCACAGCAATGTCCCACAAACAGTCGTAGATTGAAAATGGCCAATTTAATTATTGTTTTTTTTGTTTTTTGGAGGGATTATTATTAGGCTCTGTGTGGAGTAAGGAAACTTGCCCAAGGTTTCGCCCTCTGCCTGGAATTGAACTCAGGTCTCTCACTTGCAAAGCGAGTGCTCTAACCACTGAGCTACAGGACTCCACGTATGTGGGGGGGGTAGTGGTGTACCGTGTACGTGGGGGGGGAGAGGGTATGTGTGTGGGGGGGAGAGGGTATGTGTGTGTGCAGAGAGCTATATTCTTAGTCCCTGGATGGCAGTGCTGTGGACACTGGCAGCACTATTGTAACCTGGACACTATCCAGTCACAATAAACTTCATTTCCTCCCTGTATAAAACCCTCTTTATATCCCACACAGACACCTCCCACCCACTGTGGAGACACAGTCAGACCATCAGGTATCATTCCCTCCCCGCCCTGCACCCCCAAGCCCCCAACCCCAAACTCCATCACTGACCCGGTGCCTGTGCCCCTCTCCCCCTCTGCCAGCCCTGAGGATGGTGCCAGGGCTGGGGGTGGGCCTCAGGGTTGAGCTGGCGGCGTAGCTGACGTGATGATGGGGGGTTGGGAGTGGGGGGTGTTGATGTCCTGGTGATGGCCTGGAGATGGGCTGAGCTGATGAAGGGGCGAGGCTGCGCTGGGGGCAGGGTCTGGGCTGGAGGTGTGGCTGAGTTGTTGAGAGGGGTTGGGGACGGGAGTGGGGCTGAACAACTTGCATTTATATTGCATTTATAGCGTCCTGGAGCGCTTAGCAGTAGTGGAGTCTGACCCCGAGTGAGGGAGGGAGGGGGAGGTGACCGTAAGCACAGTCAAAAAGAGAAGGCATTTAGGCGGGATTTGAAAGTAGTAAGGGGCAAGGCGGTGAGATTGGGGAGAGTTCCAGAGCTTCGAAGTGTAGTGACTGAAAGTACGGCCGCCGATGTTGGAGCAGAGGGGGCGAGGGACGAACAGGAGGTCGGAGCTGGACGATGGAGGCAGTGGGTGGGCTCCATAAGTGGAATCTTGTTGTTGTTGGTGGTGGTGGAGTGGGGGGTGAGCAAGTCGGAAAGGTAGGGAGGTGCGATGGCATGAAAACGAGAGAGAGGATCTTGAAGTCGCTCCATTTGGAAATTGGGAGCCAGTTCAGCCCGGCAAGGACTGGTGTGATGGGGGTCCGGTGTTTTGTGCGTGTTGGTATCTGGGCGGGAGTTCTGAATTAATCAGCTTTTGCGCTGGGGGGCAACTGGGGGGACAGTGAGAAGGGGATTTGAAAAGTCCAGCCGGGAAGTGACAAAGGCGGACATGTGGCTCAACTGATGATGGGGGTTGGGTGGGTGAGTGATGTTGACTTGCTGGTGGGGGCTGGACTGGGGGCTAGGGGTAGGGCGGGGGCGGGGGGCTGGGGGGCAGGGCGGGGGCGGGGGGCTGGGGGGGCAGGGCGGGGGCGGGGGGGCTGGGGGGGGGGGCTGGCGGGGGCAGGGCGTGGGCTGGGGGGGTCTGGTAGGACCTGGTGGGGACAGGGCGGGGGCTGGCGGGGGCAGGGCTGGGGGGGTCAGGCCCGGGGCCTGGGGTTCTTGCTGACCTGATGGCGACTGGCACACCCAGTCCCAGTGAAGTCGATGAGGCAGCGGCCGAGCCACTCGTCGGGCCGGGAGCTGAGGATGTGGTTCCGACAGGCGTCCAGGTGCGGCTGGAGTCTGAGGAGGAGTCGGCGGGACAGCAGGTAACCATAGCCACCGTGACAATACCGGGCCTCGGCATCTCCGCCAATAAACTCCTCGGCCCGGCCCAGGTACAGGTCCTGGTCAATGCTGAGCCGGGACACCAGGGCCTTCACCCGCTCCGCAGACGTGTAGGTGTTGTCCTGAACAAAGTAGAACCAGTCGTAGTGGCCGGCAAAGTGCTGGTGAAGGTACTGCACCGCCCGGTACATCAGCCAGACCGGACGCTCGTCCCCCAGGACCACCACCTGCATGCCATGGGGCAGCGCAGACCCCCGCAGGCCCGTGAAGTACAGCAGGCGGCTGAAGTGAGGGGCCACCGTGCGGTTCACGGCCACCGCCAGAGACCCCAGGCCACCCCGCGAGGTCAGCACCGACACCAGCAACCGCTCCCGAGTCCCCAGCTCAGTGTGGATGTACCTCGTCCTGGGGACAGACACAGAGAGAAAGAGGGTCAGGGTCTGTGTAACATACACCGTCCTCACACACACATGCACTCCCTCACACACACACGCACTCCCTCACACACACACGCACTCCCTCACACACACACACACGCTTCCTCACACACACACGCACTCCCTCACACACACACGCACTCCCTCACACACACACACACACGCTTCCTCACACACACGCACTCCCTCACACACACACACTCCCTCACACACACACGCACTCCCTCACACACACACGCACTCCCTCACACACACACGCACTCCCTCACACACACACGCACCCCCTCACACACACACGCACTCCCTCACACACACACGCACTCCCTCACACACACACGCACTCCCTCACGCACACAACACCTCACACACACACGCATCCTCACGCACACACACACCCCCTCACACACACACGCACTCCCTCACACACACACACTCCCTCACACACACACGCACTCCCTCACACACACACACACACATGCTTCCTCACACACACGCACTCCCTCACACACACACACACACACATTCTCACACACACATACATGCTCCCTCACACACACACACATGCTTCCTCACACACACACACACGCTTCCTCACACACACATACATGCTCCCTCACACACACACACACGCTCCCTCACGCACACACACACACCCTCACACACAGCCTGCGGAGAGAGCCAGCATCACGTCAGGGTCTGTATAACATACACCGTCCTCACACACAGCTCACACACACAGCCTCACTAGTGTCCTGGTTATCAATACGTCAGATATAATTTGGTCCCTCAATCCTCGACTGTCTGTGGGGACAGACGCCGCTGTGCCCAATTGGCTGCCGCGTTTCATCCACAAAATATAGTCACTACACTTTACAGTGTATCCTGTGAACCGCTTTGAGACGTCTCGAAGACGTGATCAGGCGCTGTGTCACATGAAGGATTTATTATTATTATTACTCTCTGTCTCACTATCCCTCAAACTCCCCCGTGTCACTGTGACGAGGGGCTACTCGTGGGGGGGGGGGGGGGGGCGGGGGCTGGAGACAGGTTGATGCTGTTCTCACTGATGCTCTCATTTTATATACCCCACACCCTCTCCCACCTCCCACCACTCCCTCCCTGGGTAGTGTAGTGACTGTATTTTGTGGCCCAGTCTGCGCACAGCAGGGACGCGAGAGGGGAAACGAGGGCCAAGGGGTGGAGTGAGGGGTGAATGAGGGTGTGAGGGGGAAAGGGGGGGGGGGAGAGGGAAATGGGGGAAGGGGGAATGAGCAGTTAGGCCGTAATGGGGGTTTGAGGGGTGAGTGCGGGTGGTGAAGGGGGGGATGGGGGTGACAGGGAAAGGCAGGAGAGGGGGTGGCGGGCCGGATCCGGCCCGCGGGCCGCGAACACCCACCTGAGCACTTTGCGGTGCGGCGTGTCGGGGCCCCGGTTATAGGGGACGATGTGGGGCTCGAAGTCGCGCTCTTGGACGCGCTGCTCGAGCCCCGGGAGACCGCGACCCCCGACCGCCCAACACCCCTCCTCCCCGGAGGCCTCGCGCCACGACACCCGCAGCAAAGAGAGGCTACAGCCGAGACACAGCCCCAACAGCAGCGGCAGCGCCGCCCGACACCGCGGCCACAGCCAACACCGGCCCATGGGGGGGGGAGGGGGGTAAAGGGGAGACAGAGGGGGGAGAGAGAGGAGGGGAGAGAGGGGGAGACAGAGGGGGAGAGGAGGGGAGACAGAGGGGGGAGAGAGGGGGAGGTGGGGAGGAGGGGGGAGGTGGGAGAGGAGGGGGAGGGGGGGGAGGGGGAGAGAGGGGAGAGGGGGTAAAAAGGGGGAGACAGAGGGGGGGGGGAGAGAGGGGGGGGAGGGAGAGACGGGGGGGGGGAGGAGAGAGAGGGGGAAAGGGGGAGACAGAGGGGGAGAGGAGGAGACGGGGGGAGACAGAGGGGAAAAGGGGGAGAGGGGGGGAGAGAGAGGGGGAGAGGGGGGGGAGAGAGGGGGAGAGGGGGGGGGGAGAGAGGGTTAGGGGGTAGGGGGTGGAATAGTGTGTGAAAGAGAGAGAGAGAGACTGGGGAGAGACACAGAGAGGAGAGGGGAGCGGCGGGGCTGAGCGGGGGGGGGTGTGGGTGGTGGGGGGTGTTGGGGTTGAGGGGTGTGGGGGGTGGGGGTGAGGTTGGGGGTGAGGGGGAGTTGGAGGGTTGAAGGGGTTGAGTTGGAGCTGAATCTCACGGAGTTGTTTCCCTTCCGGACAACAGCGCTCACGTCAGACACTGAACCACAGCGTCAAACACAGCCCCGAGTGTGTGTGTGTGTGGGGGGGGGTCTGTGTGTGTGTGTGTGTCTGTCTGTCTGTGTGTGTGTCTGTGTCTGTCTGTGTGTGTGTCGGTCTGTGTGTCTGTCTGTCTGTGTGTGTGTGCTGTCGTGTGTGCTGTCTGTGGTTTCTGTTGTCTGTGTGGTCTGTGTGTGTGTTGTCTGTGTGTGTGTCTGTCTGTCTATGTCTGTTGTGTGCTGTTGTTGTGTGTGTGTTGTGTGTGTTCTGTCTGTGTGTGTGTGTCTGTCTGTCTGTGTGTGTGTCTGTGTGTGTGTTGTCTGTCTGTGTGTGTGTCTGTCTGTGTGTGTGTCGTCTGTGTGTGTGTCTGTCTGTGTGTGTGTGTCTGTGTGTGTGTCTGTCTGTCTGTGTGTGTGTCTGTCTGTGTGTGTGTGTCTGGGACTCCACTTGAAGGGCGTTATATAAATGCAAGTTGTTGTTGTGAGACTTCCTCCTCACATGAAAGGCACTACACAAACCTAGTGGTGTTGTTGTTGTCGTTGTTGTCGTTGTTGTTGTGTGTGTGTGTCGGCCTTGTTTCTCAATGGGCGTCTGTGTGTGACTGTCGCTCTGTCTGTCTACCAGTCTGTCAGTTCTCTCTCTCTCTCTCTCTCTCTGTTATTCCGCATGAATTTGTCTGAAAATCCGGGAGAGTGTTCCGGGGTTTTGGGGTGAAGTGGCTGAAAGCGCGACCTCCGACGGTGGGGCGGAGGCCGGGGCCAGTCGAGCGCAGGCCCCCGGGCGGGTGGGTTGGGGGAGTGAGGAGGTCGGAGTGGGAGGGAGGTTGCCGCGGAGTGAAGGGATTTGAACACGAGCGCGAGGAACCTGGGAGTCGGTCGGATCGGAGATGGGGAGCCAGCGCAGCCCTGGGCCAGAACCGGTGAGACGTGGGTGCGGAGTTTGGTCCGGGTCCGTGTGGGGGCGGCAGAGTTTTGAATGAGCTGAATAGCGGAGCTGGGGAGACCAGCGAGGGGGGGGGGGGGGTGGGTTTGAGTAATATTGTGCATTACACTACTGAGTCATTACATTAGTTTGACAGCAGGAGAGGGCTGTGTAACAATTACAAGGCTGCGGATTAATCATTCCATTGATATCACATGGAAGGGAAATACTTTGCACGAGTTAGTGTCAGTGTGGTGTCTGCGAACAACAGCCCCAGGCTGGAGGGGGGTGGGGGGGGGGGCGGGGGGCAGATCTGACAAGCATTGCCTGCGACTGCGGTTTGCACTCGGAGAAAGATTGAGAGAGAGAGAGAGAGAGATTGGGAGGAGAGACTGAAAAAGAGACTGAAAAAGAGAGTGAGCGAGAGAGAGACTGAGAGAGATCGACAGAGAGTGAGAGAGAGATAGACAGGCAGAGAGAGACAGAGACTGAGAGACTGCCCGACCTACTTTGCGCCCCCCCCTTCCCCCCCTCTGGCCTCTCCCATACACTGCCCCCGCCTCCCCCCCCCCACCCCCCGGCTGGCCACTTTCCCACACTGGTCCGTCCCCCCACATTGGCCCCCAGCCGGGCCTTGCTGCTGCCCCACACTGCGCCCCCTCCCACGCTTGACCTCTCCCCCACACTGCTCCCCCTCAGCACCGCTCCCCCTGCCCGGCCGCTCCCCCTTGCCCGGCCGCTCCCACATTCCCCCTCCCGCCTGGCTGCTCCCCACATTCCACCGCCGCCTCCCCACATTGCCCCCACTCCCGCCTGGCTGCTCCCCCACATTGCCCCCCCTCCCGCCTGGCTGTCCCCCACATTGCCCCCCTCCCGCCTGGCTGCTCCCCACATTGCCCCCCCTCCCGCCTGGCCCTCCCCACATTGCCCCCTCCCGCCTGGCCGCTCCCCCACATTGCCCCCGTCCTCCTGGCCGCTACCCCACATTGCCCCCCCCCCCCCCGCTGGCCGCTCCCCCACATTGCCCCCCCCCCCCCCGCCTGGCCGCTCCCCCACATTGCCACAGCAACAACAACATCAACAACACAATGACATGTATAGAGCGCCTTTCACGTCAGGAGGACGTCACAAGGAGTTGGAAAATTACAGGCATGACCTGGTTAATCACACGCCTCGTCACGTTCTGTGACTCAAGTGTCAACTGCCATCACTCAACACAGCAGCTGCCGGGTTAAACACATGCCCGACACGTGCCTGACAGTCACCCGCGGAACCAAAAGCAACAGCCTCTCGCCGGGGCCGGGCACACGGGGAGACCAATTACAATGGTTAAGAGCATCCAAACCAGTGTGCGAGTCCCATACCCCGTGTCTCCAATGGAATGTGATCTCTCTCCCTGGAGGGACACAGCCTGTTTACCTCGTTCCAGTTCCAGAGAGTATTAGGCGCAGGTTGGCGAGAGCCAAGGCTTTGGGTAACTGCTGGAGTGTAACCGGCTAAACCCACACCGCTCGGCCATTGATATCACTGTCCGGCAGCTTTCCCGCTGCGTGTCCAGCGAGGACCCCCTCCCCGTTAGTGAGGGCTTTGGCTGTGGGGTTAACAGGAGCTGAGGGGGAGGATTCCCGGCCCCCAGTGACTGGTCGGCCCTTCCAGGTCCTGCTGATGAGCCGGGACGGGCTGTGCCCTGGAATACCGCGGCCCCTCCTGGCTCAGGAACCGGACTAGAGACCAGGCTGACAAACGAACAAGAGTAAAGGGCTCTGTATAAACATAAGTAGTTGTTGTAAGGACAACTTAATTCCAGTGTAACCCCAGCCGCCTCTCACAGTGTATTGTGCCCAGTGGCAGGCCGTGAGGGAGGGAGCGAGCGACGGAGAGAGACAGAGGTCAGATCCGCAGGAGGTTGTGTTACATGGGGAACAAGGGCTCTGTTCACAGACAGAGTGAACGAGTGAGGACACAACCTGTTGCATATGTTCATATGGTCATTCAATCCATGAATGGAACCGCGTTGTGATGACAGGTCATCTGTCTGCGCACACTGCCAAGAGGCAAATCAGTTTATAATCTGGGTTAATCCCACATCTCTCGTTTCAGATGTGATGTGGGTGTGTGTGAGAGGGAGAGGCTCATCAGCCTCTGTGTGCAAATGGATCAGGTGTCTGGCAGTAAATATATATTTATCTCTTGTGTGTGTAACATAATAATAATCCTTGCATTTGGAGTCCTGTAGCTCAGTGGTTAGAGCACTCGCTTTGCAAGCGAGAGACCTGAGTTCAATTCCAGGCAGAGGGCGAAACCTTGGGCAAGTTTCCTTACTCCACACAGAGCCTAATAATAATCCTCCAAAAAAACAATAATAAATTGGTCATTTTCAATCCACGACTGTTTGTGGGACATTGCTGTGCGCAATTGGCTGCCGCGTTCGTCCACAAATATACAGTCAATTCACTTGACAGTATATTCTGTGAAGCGCTTTGGGACGTCCTCCCGACGGGAAAAGCGCTATATCAAATGCAAAGATTATTATTATTATTGATACATGCCTCTGTTTACTTAGCTGTAAGTAGGAACCTGGTTGTTAGTCGTTTGGTGGATCGCTTTTCCAGCGGTAATAATTCCTTCAAAATAATAATAATAGGGCCACTCAATCCACGACTGTTTGCGGGGCTCTGTTGCGCACAATTGACTGCCGTGGTTTGCCCACAAAATACACAGTCAATTCACTTTACAGTATATTTTGTGAAGCGCTTTGAGACGTTTCGAAGACGTGACAAGGCTCTGTATCAATATATATAATAATTTTCCTTGCGCACAGCAGTGTCCCACAAACAGTCATGGATTGAATGACCAATTTTATCGCTGTGTGTACATGTGTGGAAGGATCAGCTGTCTGCAGTTATATAATAATAATAATAATAATCCTTGCATTTGATATAGCGCTTTTCACGTCTTCTCGACGTCTCAAAGCGCTTCACAGAATAGACTGTAAAGTGAATTGACTGTATATTTGTGGGCGAAACGCGGCAGCCAATTGCGCACAGCAGTGACCCACAAACAGTCGTGGAATGAAGTGACCAATTTATTATTGCTTTTTTTTCTTGAGGGATTATTATTAGGCTCTGTGTGGAGTAAGGAAACTTGCCCAAGGTTTCGCCCTCTGCCTGGAATTGAACTCAGGTCTCTCGCTTGCAAAGCGAGTGCTCAAACCACTGAGCTCCAGGACTCCACTCTATATAATAATAATAATAATAATAATAATCCTTGCATTTGATATAGCGCTTTTCACGTCGGGAGGACGTCCCAAAGCGCTTCACAGAACACACTGTAAAGTGAATTGACTATATTTGTGGGCGAACGCGGCAGCCAATTGCGCACAGCAATGTCCCACAAACAGTCGTAGATTGAAAATGACCAATTTATTATTGTTTTTGGTTTTGGAGGGATTTTGGAGGGATTATGTATATATACAGTATATACATATATATATGTGTGCTACAGCTGAATGTCGGCAAGAAACCATATTCTTTGGCTCCCATCAACATCTTCTCTCCTGTGAGTCTGAACTCCTCAACGTCTCCGGTCTCTCCCTCAGATTCTCCAAACCTGTGTGCAATTTTGGGGTTAGGTTCGATCCCCAGCTTTCCTTTCTACTCCACATCCATTCCCTGACCAGGATCGCTTTTTCTCACCTCCGCCACATTGCCCGCCTTAATCTGTAACCCACAACCAACGCAGCTGAAATCTTTCTCCAGACCTTCGGCACTGCCCAACTGGACTATTCCAATGCCCTCCTCAATGATCTCCTCAGCTCCACAATATACAAAATCCAATTCATTCAAAACTCCGCCATCTGGATAGTCACTCGCAAAAACTCCATACCCCCATCACACCAGTCCTTTCCAGGCTCCACTGGCTCCCAATCACCAAACGGATCAATTAAGGAACATAACCACATAAATGCTGAACGATAAAAGACTAAGGTCCCTCCAGTTCGCCTGCCAATTTCCTGGCGATCACATACTCGTATGTCCTGAACTCCTTATGTACTGAATCCCAGAATGTTATTAATCTGTGTTTGAAGGAATCAACATTTCCTGCTTCAAGTGGGACACACACACACCCCTCACAAGGGTGAGGGCTGTTTGTGGCTATGGTGTGTGTGTTTTGGGGGATGAGGGGTGTGTGACTGTAATGTAGGGGTATTTTCAGGGATGAGGGGTAGTGGGGGGGATGAGCCCCCTGTAGCCCTAATCCACCCCAAAGGAACACCACTGACCCCCCCACTGTCAGTTGCCAGGTCCCACAGGGAAAACCTTCCTTTCAAAGTTGTTTTGAAGCTCACACAGAGACACGCAACACATGGATTAAAATCATGGTTCTTTATTTAAATATATTATCTATTAAGACTCGATGTTTGTGAGTACACACCAGCTCACACTCGGAAAATAATCTCTGTACATTTATCCTTGTGAGAAGTGTGGGCAGACACTCAGAGTGTGATACACTGACCACATTGTCTCATCTTCAGAACTCCATCCCACAGTCCCTCCGCCTCACCCCTCCCTCGCCTCCTTCAAGGCACGTCTCAAGACCCTCCTCTTTCTGAGGGTAATAATCCCTTCAATAAAATAAAATATAAAAAATAATAATTGAGTCACTCAATCCGTGACTGTTTGTGGGACGCTGCTGTGCGCAATTGGCTGCTGCATTTCGCCCACAAAATATAGAGTGGCTACAGTATATTCTGTGAAGCGCTTTGAGACAAAATGCAAGGATTATTATTATTACTATCACTCTTCCCCAATGGCACAGTCTTCGCTCTCTCTCTCCAAGGACAGATGACAGAGGATGATGGGCTCGTGGTTCCTGACATGGCGGCTAGAGGCCGGGCTGAAGGCGGGAAAGAGCGGTGCCCGGAAGTGGGCCTTGAAGGAGTGGATGTGGGAGGCCCTGTCCACATTGTAGAAGGACAGACGTCCCTCCTCGCAGTGCAGGAACACCCCCAGCCTCTCAAAGCCATGGTCCTTGTGGTTGAGATCCAGAGAGATGGAGTCGGAGGCATGGAGAGCATGGTACTCCCGGTCCAGTCTCCTGAGCACCCAGGAATGCTTGTTCTTGCCCAGCACCGTCTCCTTGCCTTTGCCCTTGCGAGCCATGCTGGCGTAGGCCACCCCCACACTCCAGCTCCCGGTCCTACTGACCCTCACCTCCCAGTAGTGCTTCCCCGAGGAGAAGCTCTCGCGAGCCAGCACATTGTAGCTGACTTCGAAGCGCTGGTTCTTGTTGGGGAGGTTGAGAGGTGTAGGTATGTAGTGCACACTGCACTGGTCACTCAGCACACACAGGCACGGGTGGCAAGTCTCCACGTCAAAGCTCAGGTTCCGGGAATCTGTCCCAGGGTAAAGCAGAAGGTCAGTCTGCAGCCCACTGCGCTCCACCCAACCCAACCCAACCCAACCCAACCCAGCATACCACAGCCCACTCCATACACAGCCCAGCCCAGTACACTTCACACACAGCCCAGTACACTCCACACACAGCCCAGCCCAGTACACTCCATACACAGCCCAGCCCAGTACACTCCATACACAGCCCAGTACACTCCACACACAGCCCAGTACACTCCACACACAGCCCAGCCCAGTACACTCCACACACAGCCCAGTACACTCCACACACAGCCCAGCCCAGTACACTCCACACACAGCCCAGTACACTCCACACACAGCCCAGTACACTCCACACACAGCCCAGCCCAGTACACTCCACACACAGCCCAGTACACTCCACACACAGCCCAGTACACTCCACACACAGCCCAGCCCAGTACACTCCACACACAGCCCAGTACACTCCACACACAGCCCAGTACACTCCACACACAGCCCAGCACACTCCATACACAGCCCAGTACACTCCACACACAGCCCAGCTCACTCCACACACAGCCCAGCTCACTCCACTCCACACACAGCCCAACTCACTCCACTCCACACACAGCCCCACTCACCCCACTCCACACACAGCCCAACTCAATCCACTCCACACACAGCCCCACTCACCCCACTCCACACACAGCCCAACTCACTCCACTCCACACACAGCCCCACTCACCCCACTCCACACACAGCCCAACTCAATCCACTCCACACACAGCCCCACTCACCCCACTCCACACACAGCCCAGCTCACCCCACTCCACACACAGCCCAGCTCACTCCACACACAGCCCAGCTCACTCCATACACAGCCCAACTCACTCCACACACAGCCCAGCTCACTCCACACACAGCCCAACTCACTCCACGCACAGCCCAACTCACTCCACTCCATCCCAGCTGAGCCCAACAGTATATTCTGTGAGGCGTTTTAAGATGTCTTGAAGATGTGATAAGGCGCTATATCAAATGCAAAGATTATTATTATTATAAATCTCTGTGATACCCTGACCGGGGCCTCAGACACTCACATTGCCACATGCGGGGCAGGATTCTGCTCACAGACCGCCGCAGCTCGTCCACAGAACGCTCCAGCGAAGCCAGCCTCCCGCTCTCAAGCCAACATTGCTTCCCTATGTTCTGCTCAAGATCCTCAAACATCTCCAAACTAGAGACACAAAGAGAAAGTGGGATAAGGAGCGAGTGAGGAGCAATGGTCTAACACACGGACACGGGGACAGAGTCAGACATGTCCAACATCGGGGGAAACACCAGAATGATATGTTTCCTGGATTTATACACCAGAAAACTGACCACCGGAGTTACATTATACCACAGGGAATGGGATTAGAGTGCAGAACTCCAATAGAGAGCGAGCACCAGCACAAACATGATGGGGAGAGATCAGGGAATGGGATAAGAGTAGAGAGCTCCAGTGGGGAGCGAGCACCAGAACAGAGATAGAATCAGAAGGAGGCCATTCGGCCCATCGTGTCTGTGACGGCTCTTTGAAAAGAACTACCCAAATCAATCCCACTCCCCCGCGCTCTCCCCATAGCCCTGCAAACTTGTCCTCCCCAGATAATTATGTACTTCTCTCTTAAAAGTTATTATTGAATCAGCTTCCACCGGCCTTTCAGGCAATGCATTCCAGATCCAAACAACTCGCTGTGTGAAACAATTTCTCCTCTGTTTCTTTTAACAACTATTTTAAATCGGTGCCCTCGGGTTACCGACCCACCCGCCAGTGGAAATAGTTTCTCCTTTTTCACCCTATCAAATCCCCTCATCATTTTGAAAACTTCTATTAAGTCTCCTCTTAACTTTCTCTGCTCCGAGGAGAATAATCCCGGCTTCTCCGGCCTCTCCTGATAACTGACTCACACTGCTGGGCTCTCTGCTCATCCCCACGTGATGAGGAGAGAGCGGGGAATGGGATGAGAGTAGAGAGCTCCAGCGAGGGAGTGAGCCCCGGCACAGACACGATGGGGAGAGAGCAGGGGTTGGGAGGGGGAGAGTTAAGGAAAGATTCTCACCGTGTTCTCCAACTGACAATCTCCTGTAATCGAGGAAAGAAAAAATTATCAACCTCAGCGCACACCAACCCCAGTAATACACACACCAACCCCAGTAATACACACACCAACCCCAGTAACACACACACACACCAACCCCAGTAACACACACACACACCAACCCCAGTAACACACACACACACCAACCCCAGTAATACACACACCAACCCCAGTAACACACACACACACCAACCCCAGTAATACACACACCAACCCCAGTAACACACACACACACCAACCCCAGTAACACACACACACACCAACCCCAGTAATACACACACCAACCCCAGTAACACCCAGTAACACACACACCAACCCCAGTAACACACACACACACCAACCCCAGTAACACACACACCAACCCCAGTAACACACACACACACCAACCCCAGTAACACACACACACACCAACCCCAGTAACACACACACCAACCCCAGTAACACACACACCAACCCCAGTAACACACACACCAACCCCAGTAACACACACACCAACCCCAGTAACACACACACACACCAACCCCAGTAACACACACACACACCAACCCCAGTAACACACACACCAACCCCAGTAACACACACACCAACCCCAGTAACACACACACCAACCCCAGTAACACACACACACACCAACCCCAGTAACACACACACACAAACCTCGGTAACACACACTGCCCCCTAACTGAGTGAGTGTGGGCTGGATACACGTGAGCTGGGGAGCAGGGGTTGCTGGGCGAGTGTGCGAGAGTGAGCGTGTCTCATGATGTCCCGTGTCTCAGTGCTGTTACCCCTGTGAGTGGGAGGCACTTTCACACCCTACTTTTCCTGATGTGGGTGCCATGTGAATGGCTGCGCGGGTGCTGTGCAGGGGGCTGCGCGGGTACTGTGCGGGGGGCTGCGCGGGTGCTGTGCGGGGGGGCTGCGCGGGTGCTGTGCGGGGGGCTGCGCGAGTGCTGTGCGGGGGGCTGCGCGGGTGCTGTGCGGGGGGCTGCTCGGGTGCTGCGTGGATACTATGTGAATGGCTGCATGGGTGCTGTGGGGGGGTTGCGTGGGTGCAATGTGAATGGCTGCGTGGGTGTTGTGCAGGGGACTGTGCAGGGGACTGTGCGGGTGCCATGCGGGGGGCTGCGCGGGTGCTATGTGGGGGGCTGCGCGGGTACTGTGTGGGGGGCTGCGCGGGTGCTGTGTGGGGGGCTGCGCTGGGGGCTGCGCGGGGGCTGTATGGTGGGCTGTGCGTGGGGCTGCGCAGGGTGGGGGGGTGGGGGGCTGTGCGGGTGAGTGAGACAGACCTGCAGTCTCCTGATGTCCCGTGTCTCAGTGCTGTTACCCAGACGCTCCACACCGTTGAAGATGGCGGTGATGCTGTCGCTGTAGGCCACGCTGTCCACCTGCTGCCCTCGGAGCAGACGCTCCATCCTCACCCGCTCGGCCTCGATCAGCCCCTCCGTCCTCCTCATGTCCTCCTCCAGCAGCTTCCACACCACACGGTATTTCTCCCCCACAGACTGACGTGTTCTCCTGATAATCTCCTGTAATCACAGGGGCAGTCAGTCTGGGGGTGGGGCTCAGGGGGGCCGGAGTGGGGGGAAGGGGCTCCGTGGGTCAAAGAAGGTGGGGATCCGGGGTGGGGGGGGGTTGGGGGTCAGTACCTCCATGTCCTGTAGGCTCAGTGGGAAACTCTCCAGATTTTGTCTCATCCTTTCATGACCTTTCAGCAGCTGCTGCACTTTGTTTTTGATCTGGAACTGAATCAACCGCAGCGCGCTCAGCAGAACACGCCTGGGCTTTAAGGGAGTGGAGGTGGCTGAGATACCAAGGTGATTTGTGTGAGTAGGAGAAGGTTTGGGAAGAGAGGGGAGCGAGGGAGTGGAGGAGAGAGCTGTGGGGAAGGGTGACCAAGGAGAATAGGTCATTGAGGGAGGACGTCCACAGGGGAAGGAGTTCAGATGACTCCAAGGCAGCTGAGAGGGATGGGAGGGGGGAGGTCAAGGGGTGTGATGGAAGATGTAGCCGGGCGGTGTGGCCTCTGTCAGGGGACAGTTGGTGGCGGAAAGTGGGGGGCGAGATGGGGGGGGGGTGGGTGCGGGGAGATTGGTAGGGAGGGTAGGGATGTGGATCAGGGAGAGGTTGGCCCCTGTGGTCGGAGACTGGTGAGCCTTGCAGTGAGCGTAGGGAATAGGGCAGTCAGAGTGGCTGCTGGCGACTCCCACGGTGGTTAACAAACAGTTAATGTGACATGGGCATCAACCAACAACACATGACATTACACGGCACCTGTCACATCAGGAGGACATCCCGAGGCACTGGATAGTCAGAGGTTTTGACCTGAGCTGGTGGTTGGGGTCAGGAGGGATGGAGGGTGGCAGGGTGACTGCTGTCAAAGATGAGGGTCTTGAGACCGGCCTTGAAGTGGGTGAGGCAAAGGGACTGGGATGGAGGTCCAAAGGGTGGGGGCAGAGAGGCTGAAAGGCCGACCACTGATGGTGGGACGGGCGGGGGGGGGGGGCGGACGTGGAGCAGGCCAGAGCCTGCGGAGCGGAGGGAGCGGACAGGTTGATGTGGCAGTGATGGCGTTTCACTTGCTGATAGTTTTGGGTGGGGACCAGGGATTGGGTGTGAGGGACAGACATTCCGGGGATCAGCGGTCTGACCGAATCTGCTCACTCGCCATTAGCAGAAACGCAACAACGAGGAGGTTGTGGGTGTGGGAGACTGCGGGTTGCAGGCAGCTCTCTCTCCCTCACACATACCTCCCAGCCCAGACCAGCCCGCGGGCCGAGCACTCACACAGCAGCCGGCGCTGGGAGCCGGTGGCCGGTCTGAGCGCCTCCCCAGCCCCGGGCAGCACTGCCTGACCTCACAGCAGCTCTCAGTGCGTCACAGACTGGACCCAAACTGTCAGTGACCTCGCTGCTCCCAAATATCCTTACTCTCCCTCCCCACACAGTCACCCTTACCCTCCCTCCCCTCTCCCTCCTGGTGCCTGTGCTGGTGCTCAGTCGCCCGCTGGAGCTCTCCCCTCCAGTGAGGAGTCCTGTAGCTCAGTGGTTAGAGCCCTCACCTCGCAAGCGAGAGACCTGGGTTTGATTCCCGGGCAACGTGCAATGTTGGGCGAGTTTCCTTACTCCTCAGGCCTCCTGTTTGCCCGGCAGCGAGCGGGAGCTCGGATGCTAAAACGCTCCGGGACCGATCCCTGCGCGAAGAGTGCTGTGTGAATGCGCGTTGTCGTTGTCGTAGTCAACCGACGGATCCGCTCTCTGGGGCTAATAATCCCTCCAGATAATAAAAACGATCCACGAGTGTTTTGTGGCGGACGCTGCTGTGCGCGATTGGCCGCTGCGTTTCGCCCACAAAATCCACAGTCACTACGCTTTACAGTGTTATTGCGGGAAGAGGTTTGTGACGTCTCGACGATGTGCTGAGGCGCTGTATGAAAGGCCAGGATTATTATGATTATTAATCCCGCTCCCTGCTCTCTCTCCGGCCCTGGGTGTTGGCTCACTCCCTGCGGTACAAAGCCCCCGGAGCCGGAGACGGTTTAAACACTTTCGGGGTAAATAAAGAGCCACTTTTTGTGTGAAGATTTTACTTGGAACCTTCAGGGGAGAGACTCGCCCCGCCCAACCCGCCCAATAATCCCCCACAACCCGCCCAATATTCCCCCACAACCCGCATAACCCGCCCGATACTCCCCCACAACCCGCCCAACCAGCCCAAACCGCGCCTAGCCCGCACAACCCGCCCAACCCGCCCGATACTCCCCCACAACCCGCCCAACCCGCCGCTATAAAGCCTGAGTCTCCCTCCGCTCTCACTCACACCGACTCCGGCGGTTCTGAAATCAGCTCCGAATCGGGTGTCGCTATGAATGAGAGCGGCCAAACCGGCGGCACCGCGAGCACCGACAGCACCGGGAACACCGACAGCACCGGGAACACCGACAGCACCGACAGCACCGGGAGCACCGACAGCACCGGGAACACCGACAGCACCGGGAGCTCCGGGAGCCTGGACAGCATTGGCGGGGACACCGGGAGCGGGGACACCGGGAGCAGCTTCAGGAGCAGCGCGAGCGGCTCGGGCAGCACCGGCACCGGGAGCGGGGACACCGGGAGCGGCACCGGGAGCGGCACCGGGCGGCGGTCCGGGGCGGGAGTGCTGTGTGTGCGGCACTGTGAGCCGCTGATTCTGTTCTGCACCGAGTGTGAGGACTGTGTGTGTCCGCACTGTCTGGTCAGCGCCGAACACCGCACTCACTCCCTCTGCCCCATCCCCGAGGCGTGTGAGCAACAGCGGGTAAGGTCACTACTGCTCACTACTGCTCACTACTGCCCACCACACCAGGTCACTACTGCTCACTACTGCCCACCACACCAGGTCACTACCTGTCACTACTGCCCCACCACACCAGGTCACTACTGCTCACTACTGCCCACCACACCAGGTCACTACTGCTCACTACTTGCCACACCACACCAGGTCACTACACCAGGTCACTACTGCCCACCACACCAGGTCACTACTGCTCACTACTGCCCACCACACCAGGTCACTACTGCTCACTACTGCTCACTACTGCCCACCACACCAGGTCACTACTGCTCACTACTGCCCACCACACCAGGTCACTACTGCTCACCACTGCTCACTACTGCCCACCACACCAGGTCACTACTGCTCACTACTGCCCACCACACCAGGTCACTACTGCTCACTACTGCCCACCACACCAGGTCACTACTGCTCACTACTGCCCACCACACCAGGTCACTACTGCTCACTACTGCACAGGTCACTACTACTCGCCCACCACACCAGGTCACTACTGCTCACTACTGCCCACCACACCAGGTCACCACTGCTCACTACTGCCCACCACACCAGGTCACTACTGCTCACTACTGCCCACCACACCAGGTCACTACTGCTGCAC